ACGCTGCGTCTTGGATTTCTTAGCGACGCTGTCGCGCTATTTCTTTTAGTTGGAGGTAGAGTTGATAGCCTCCGACAGTACCACCTCATCACTCAGGATTTCTACTAATATTCAACGATTCAGATATTGTGATTACAAAAACACTTACATGACGTTGAATAACACCCCAGGGATTTATTTTTCTTGACCCAAATAAAATTAAATAAGTAAAACTAAGGACACTTAGGAAACCTCCCATATTGGCAGTAAGTTGAAAAAGTGTAAATTCTATTCGATCATACCAAAGTTGTACCAAATATTCTTGAGAATTTGTCTTTAAATTACTAACAAATTCTGAAGGTATAATTCTAAAAACTTCCCAAAGATCGCTGCTAACTCCAAATCCTGCTATTGCAAAACTTGTAAATGTTTCATCAAGCTTTACAGACTTTTGAATTGCTTGTCCAGTTCCACCCCCAGTTAAAGCACTGATTGTGTCGGTACCATACTTTTCCATTCTTTTAAAATATAAATATGATATAGAAGGCTGTGAAATTATGAATATATTATTAATTATCATATTTTTATATTAATATCATATAAAAGTACATTTATTAAGTTTTCTCACCATTTTAACGATTTGGAATTTAGTATACTTATAATCATCAAGTTCAGTAAATGTTCCATATTCAAACCAACGATCAGCAGTCGTGTTCAATACAGTGTTGTTAGCATTTTCATATGACCATAATGCAATGACAATTTTTTGGGTAGAATTGTCAAATACGAGAGGACTTTCGCCGTAAGACTTATTAAATGGTCGTGAAGAGTTTAAGATATCTATATAAAATAAATTATACATTAACCAAATATTTATTGATTTTTTTTTTTTTTTAAAAAAAAAAATATTACGAACGACAGTGTTGTTGATCAAGCTCATAGTATCCACGAATATTAACAAAAATTGACGCATTAATTGGTTTATCTGATATATATTCATTACAACTTTTGCCCTTATAAAATTATAAACTTATTAAAAATAGTACTAAATTTCTTTCATTGAAATTATTAATTAAGGACTTAACGTATACTTGAGAATAATCATCATCAGCAGAATTAAATTCACTTTTAAAACATTGGACAGTACTGTTTAATGTTTTTCCACAGATTACTAAGCCTGGTACCTATGATGAATATGTATCCATTTAATCTCAACAATTTTCTGAGATAATCAATATCAATTATAAATAATTTACTGGTATGCTAGGACGCAAGACGGACTTTAAGGATACCACTGGAGAATTTATAGCCTCAAGCATACGATATATGTTCCAGACTTTAAATAGTATATTGATAAAGAACTAAAGTTAAAACTCGAGCGAAGTGATAGCAAAAAGCAATATAAATTTGTATGTCACGGAAAATGTTAAGATACATACATCCAAATGCAGCTGTTAATAATATGATTAAAACTATAGTTGCAAATCTTAGCCTTCTTTCTGTTCAATATTTTATAAAAAAATTAATATATATTCTTTAAAGATTTTATACGACTTGTCTTTTTACCGGCCGATTCTTTTCTCGAATAAACTGTGAACATATTTGTATAGTATATAGATTTTAAATTTATAAAATATCATGAAGAAATCATAAAACATGGTTAGTTTTTATGCAATAACGAGTAATTATTATATTCACGTGAATGAAATGAAAAAAATCATAACTAGAAAATACAATATAATATTTAGGTCTAATTCATTTAGATAGGGCTTTACTTATTTTGGGATAATGCAAATTCCTAAAAGGAAATAGCCAATCAAAGTATCTAAGTACGTATAATCCGAACACGTGCGAAAGAAGAAAAAAAGAAAAGTACTCTAAAACTAATGCTTAAGTCAACTTTGGTGCACTAATCAAAAACTATGTGTAGATTAACGCTAATACATTAAATCTAGGTCTTATCTTTACGTACTTGGTTTATTTACAAAATTAATTTTCACTTTGTATTATCATCACAAATAAGTAAAGCCCATTTATCGTCCCTGGAATTCTAGAGAATTATATTTTAATAATCTATAAGCAACCAGCCCAGAGACACAACAAATAAAAACTATTATATCGTACGACAATAAGCAGCAGAAACAAATACATTAAAAACCGAAAATAGAAAAGGTAAAATCTGATGTTAAATAATTGTAAGATAAAGATTCATCAGTAAAAATGCTTTGTCATCGTTTAAAGTATTAAAGACTTTGAGCTTTACCTCCAATAAAGTTTTAGAACTTCTTGATGATTCTCAACAGTAAATACAGTAAATTTCTGTGCAATTTCTTATGCTAGTAAAACATAATTATTGCGTGACTTACCTGTATCATTAGTTTCGTGAGCTATTTGTGTTCATATATGATCATATTTGGCATTAATTATAGGAAATTGTTTGTAATAAAACATTTACACAAGTCCATCATAAAATAAAGCAAAAGATGTAATAATTGTTATTATTCTACCGTGTATAAAATCTTTTGCCACATTCATTTGTTTGATGTTGAATTTTCTTGTATAGAATATGAGTATAGTTTTAGCTGACTGGCTAAGCAGCTTATATTCGGAATCTTACATTTATATTCTCATTAAAAATTAAATACTTACATCGATAACGATAATCGTAATCTTAGCCGCATTAACTATATTTAATGGCTGGCTTAGCCGGCTAGGCCAGGCCGCCTTAGCGGCTAGACTTTACTTATTTGCGTGATAATTCAAATTCCTAAAAAGGAAATAGCCAATTAGAGAACGCAACTTTTAACTATTGTTGGATACGAGAGATCATGACAGAATCTAGGCCGATTTGATTTTAGTTCAGAGTTCTGTTTACTGTCTCTCGGCTCAGACAGATTATTTATCTTATATGTATGGAGAACTATACGATTATCAAGAATTTTTGGTAGGGTAATAATTTTTTTAATTACAGGTCATTGTTCTTTCTTCCCATCACGCAACCCCTTTTATTATACTTCTCCCTTACACTCTTTAAGATAATGACAAATACAGTAAAAATAAAAAAGAAATAACAGAGTAACGTAATAATAAAATTAATCTGACCATGAAAATAATAATAGTAATAAAATGAAATAATAGTTCGTTGAAATGTAGTATTAATTCAAGAATGTATTAATTAAGTTAGTTGTTGAAAATTGGATCTGTATCACTTCACCGACACTCAATTTGTAAAATGCATCACCTAGAATTAATTCACCGATATAGATGGGGTCAAAATTATTTTGCTCATGGCGAAAATTATTTTAGATAGTCTAAAACCGTAAATAATTTATAATGGTTAAAATAATTCAGGTAGCAAAAATTATTTATATATTTTAGGATGTCATAAATATTTTAGATGTCGAAAATATTTAGAATGGCGAAAAATAATAAGTCATCTTTAGATTAAATAATCTTAAAGAAATAACTAAATTAAATACTAGCTAACTGACACGTTCTTACGTCCGTACTTTGAGTTATAATGTTAATTATCTGTAACTGACCAATCAGATTATTATAAACTGAACAGATCAAAGATACTGTATAAAATACACCAATAATTAGTTTTGAAAAGAGTTAGTTAATTTACCAATTTTTATCTATAGATGTAAAACAAAATAGGTGTTTTAGTAAAAATCTTATTATTAGTCGCCTAAATTAACAAAAGCGGACATACATTTAAAATTTTAATAGTGTAGTGAAACCAGATACAGCGGCGAGTTAGTCGCTTGATAATCTAAATTCTTGCACATCCTACGGTAGGCTTTGCTGGAAAAAGGCGTGTTAGATTTAGTCGAGTTGGTTGGTTACGTAGATAGGTCTTTCTCTTATCTGAGTAACTCTAGGCTTTCTTTAACCTCAGCAATACCACACTACTTCGGGCAAGCTGGACAAATCAACCACAGTTGCACCAAGTACGTTAGGTTAACAACTGGACGGGTATCGAATTTAATAAGGGGGTCACGTAAGCAAAATGATAACGAGAAGGGTTTTAGCTCTATGGTTAAATGATATTTTGGGTAAGGATAGTTTAGCGAAGTTAGGTTTAGCAAATATATTTTATTAAGGAATTTATTGTTTAATGTATTGGGTCAGATTATTCTTTTAATAAAGCAAAGACGGGAACTTTAACTGCTTTCCCTCTAGGGCCTTTATTTATAGTAGATTTTACTTATTTACATCTAAGAGGCTACATTGCCATTATTCCCTATGCGGTCTATATGAATTATAATGCCTATATCATCTCTATTCTCCTTAATGCTTATATCCCCCACATATTCCTCCTGGTCTTTATCGCCCCGTGACCGACGTTGCCGAAGTTAAACATTCCCCGGGTAACCCTAATTCGGAGTTACTGAAGTCACGTGCCACGTGACTTCGTCGGCACTTTGAGAGAAGATATCTCAACAACCGCCTGACCAAAATCTATGAAATTTTTTTTATTCGAATTCCATTTATTTGTAGAATTCAATCAAAAAAAATTTTATCGAATTTGGTCAGGTAGTTGCTGAGATATCTTCGTTCAAAGTTTTAGAAGAAATTTGGTGCGCTTTTTATTTTATTAAGCATTTTGAATTTGTTTACTAATGTTGAGCGAAGATATCTCAACAACCGCCTAATCAAAATCGATGAAATTATTTTATTGGAATTCCATATATTCGTAGAATTTGAACAAAAAAAAAAACTATCGAATTTGGTCGAGTAATTATTGAGATATTTTCGCTCAAAGTTCAAAAATATTTTACAAAAAATTTATCAAGAACGCTACCTCAATTTAGGGGGTAATTTAGGCCTATCAACAAAGTAACTGTGGATCTATCAACAACGTAACTTTTGCGTCACTGGCGCTAAAGTTTCATTTTTGATAGATCTACGATGTTGTCGGAGGCTAACACTACCTCCACTCAAAAGAAACAAGGCGATAGCGTCGCTAAGAAATCCAAGACACAGCATAATGTGACACTACTTTAAAAGAGAGGCAGGATTTGATTTAGCACAGTCAAGGTGGTAGCGAAATGTTAGGCTAAAGTAAGTATTTTATTTATTATCTCAATTGATTGTTTCCAATCCTATTAATCTGTTTTACATGTTGTCAAATTTACATTCCTTTTATACAAATTTTGGAAGAAACAAAAAAAAAAGTAAAAGAACAAAAGGTTGGGTCCCATGGCTTAGTTGGTTAAGTCCTCAACTCTCCACAGACAAGGTTAACAGTTCGAGTCTGGTTGGAGGCATTTGCTTCTGTAATTCTTATGAAAACTATTAATCAAATGCGAAGCCCTGTAGTAAAATCCATGTGAAGTACAAGATTCTAGAAAAGGAATTCCCAGAAGGAGATTGATATTATAGAGTAAGTTGGCATTATGTATGACAGTTGGGTCACAGAAGGTTCCGTTATATGAGTGTTGTGCAAATAAGTCCTCGAAGGGTTAGGCAGCACCAACATCTCCAGCAGTTGGAAACTTGCTTGGAAGGGTGACACAAAGGTAATATGAGCTAGAGTAATGAGTGAAGTGGTGAATATAATAGAAATCTGTGGTAAAGGATTGTTCCAACTAGATGTAGAACACCTCTGGTACATGTGAAAGCTAGAATTGGAAGGTCCTAGTCCTGTAGAGAGTTAGCGACTATCTAGAGCATGTGTAATAATCTGAATTGGCAGGAAGTACCAGGCTAGTAGTGCAATCACATATCTGAGTACAAGGGCATACCAACATTACATTAGCTAATGCAGAAGCAAGTTGGAAGTAGTACTATGTATTACAAACCTAGTTAAGAGCAATTTTGTTGCGAAACATAGTCTGTACTCTACCAACACATGGAAGTATTCAGTATTGATAGTAGTACTGTATATAATTACAGTTGTATGTTATAAATGTTGCATACCCAGTTCTGTAGTAGTTGTATTAGTTGTGAGCCTAGATTAAGCGTTGTAAGCTAATTAGGAGGTATACAGATCTAGATAGCTAAACACCAAACAGGAAGTTTTCCGTGAGGATTATAATGCCCCATGAGATCTATGGTACCTATTTGGTAGTATCTCTGTAGGAATATAAGTGATGTAGTGAATACAGAAAAGGTGATCTAATAAGGATAGCTATAGCATAAACTCTAATTAAGACTATAGTGGGTTAGTCATGATTTAGATCAAGTATATCTCGAGGATAAATTAGTCCTAAGGTTATACATAGATATTAAAACTAGTTGTAATTATTACTTGTAATAAATTATAACAAAAATTTAATAAAGTGTCTGGCCAAAGAGGTCACTTGTAAAAAAAAATAAAAATAAAAAAAAAAAAGTAAAAGAACTAAAATGAAGATTTTACTTCCTTATTTTCAATAAACAATTTTAAAATATGTTATATCATTAAAACACAATCACGAGCTTATCCTGATATAGTTAATTTAACTTATTGATATCTCTAAGCTACATTTTAACTATTGGGTTAATTATTCAACAATGTTTTTTTAGGTTTAACTATAAATTTGCTGATTATTGGTCCTGTAGGATCCTTATATGTAATTCAGGTCTTATTTAGCATGTAGGTCTTTAGATCAGTTTTCAGACTTTGTGAATTACTTTGAGATACAGTTCTTTTTTTCTTTAGTATATTGATTTTGCTTTTGACAGTACGCAAAGTTTCCACTAATACTTAGGATAAATACCACGTGATTTTGATATTTTTATTTGGGTATTATAAATCATAATCGATTTTCAAATTTTAATTATGTAGGTACTTAAAAATGTGCCATCAACGATGGAATGTTACACTCCAATTGTTGAGAGAGTGCAAGAACACTCATCTTCAGAGAAAATTGGCACGTTATCTACATCAACTGATGATGTAGATGAATTAAGAATCCAAAAGATAAAGCAGGAGCTACGTGAGGAAGTGCATAAAACGATAAAAAATGAACTAGAATTTTTGAGTCATTATCTTCAAGATGTTGATAAGCATCAAGTGGTATAAATTTCGTTATACTTTTATATGGATATTCAAGATAGCAAGGGATAATTGCGCGATATAAAATATTCATTATTAGCTACATTGTTATTTGTCATTATTGTGTAATTATAGGTTTCATTATTATCGTTAGCATTATTTAGATTTTGGGATTATATAAATAAATTATCATACAAAAAAAAAAGAAACTATGTTACCAAACCTGAAAGGGATAGTTTGGGAATTTCTACTTAATTTTGGTTTGGATTGAATTTATAGTAATCCCGTTTTTTTTAGGCACCCCAAACCTAGCAAATACTTAAGTGATTGTGTATAGTATTCGAACGCATCAGGTTATTAGGCATACTCGTAATATCGTTTAGTGTAGAGCGGTATCAGGGTTCAACCTAAGGTTGTTTGCCGAAAGTGCATACTTTCGGAGTGTCCGAAACAGAAAGTATTTCGGAGGCAAGTTTTGATTTCGAAATGTCCGAAAGTCGAAAGTCTGTCCGAAAGTACTATAAAAATTAGTATCGGTATAGATAATCTATAATAAATTAATGTATCGATTTTTTCTTTTCATTTTTTTTTTTTTTTTTTTCCTCTGTGAATAAAATGGTCTAATCCATGTATAATTGTTAAGTTTAGATTAATTAATGCAATTTAATGCAGGTAAAATAATATATTGATTTAAGACTTTCACGATTTGCTGCGATGAGTCAACCAGGGCGGTGTGAAGGGGAGATCGACACCCGGATCCGGCGTAACACAAATTCACAAAATTCATGAAATTCGATGAATTTGTGGAATTAATTCAACAAAATGAAATAACATAGTAACCAGAATTCGTAGAATGGTTACTATTTGAAAAATAGTAGTAAAAGCGCATATTTTGTAAATAGTACTAATAGTAATATTAGTAGGAATTATTATTATATTTTTTTATTAAATTATGTAGTAGCGAAAAGTATATATAGACTGAATAATTGCCCTCAATAAAAACAACTCATAGAGTTCGAAAAAAGTAAAACCTTCTGAGTCTTGAATAGTCTTGAAAGAAGTGTTTATTTCTAAAAAGTTCTCCTTTAAATTGATACAAATTATTTAAATCGTCTAAATCGTCTCTTGTTAAATCTTGTTCCTGTAATATTTTCTTGTTAAATCCAGTTTCCAGTTAGAGTAAAAGTACCCAAATTGTTATATCGCATACTCTTTTATAGTACCTTAAATTGATCAAACAATTGATTAGTTTCGTAATTGCTAGAATCAACTCACCAATAATTCTGTGCTTTCGTGATACCCAAATCATGACCAAATCATGATCAAATCATAACTTCTGATAAATAGACCAAGACAATCTATAGATCCAACTTTTATAACTAAAATACTTACTCAAGTAATCCTAAACTTGAATCAAGTTATACCTGCCTCTTTCAAGCCTTGTTCAAGATAGAGTTACTTTTTAGTTGGATTTTTGAATTATCAGCATAGATTAGTTAAACCCAAACCTCTATATAACTAAACCTCTGGATGAATTCTAACCTATAACTAATTCATATTTTTTTTTTTTTTTTTTTTTTTTTTTTATTAAATAATGTCATAGTCGAAACTTTATTTTCAAAAAAATTAGAACA